CCACGAAGTGTTGGGAAACTGTTATCCAATCAAACTAGACATCAAATTGTAGGGCATAATAATTAATTATTCACATTGTTAGTTGTAATTGATGTACAAGGAGATCTTTGACTTATCATTGGTCCACGTGCATGGTCCATATTGGTAAACAGTTCACTCTAATATTATCCAAATACTTTATTAATTATTAATTGGTTTCACAAGATTATGTATTAAGTCATGTAAAGCTAAAATTTCGAATTATTCCATGAATAAGTGATCAAAGTCATTAACATATATATTGTTAGGTTTTGGACTCGAGTATTGCATATATAAGGGATATAAGTGTTTATAATCAGAAAATTAAGCCTTTAAATAGATATTATTTTATTTTGATTCCAAATTTATTAAAGAAATAGATTTTGAATTAATATTATGAAATGAGAAAATTACCCGTCCAGCTCAGTTGGTAGAGCGCAAGGCTTTTAATCTTGTGGTCGTGGGATCGAGTCACACGGTGGACAATTCATAATTCTGACTGCAAGATGTCTCTCACGGAAGCTACTCTTAACCTGGCGTTAGGAGCATCCTATTATCCTACCTCCCCTTACCCTATTACATATGGGAATAAGATCAGCTAATTTTTTATTATTAAAAGTATCATTACAACACTTTACTCACTTTGTTCTTTCTCCTTAGGTCTGTAAACGAACCGAACGCACACGAACGATGTATGTTCATGCTCGTTCATTAAGGAATATAGTTTGTTCATGTTCATTCATGTCCGTTCATTTAAATGAAACGAATGTGAACGAACACAAACGAACGAACATAATAAATGAACATAAACGAACACAATAAACGAACAACACAAACAAAAAAAAACTTATTCGAACACAACAAATGAATTTAAAAAAAATAAATAACAATAATAACAACTTAAAATTCATTAATATAACCTGCAAGTTTAGAGTTAATTTGTTCGAATACGACAATAACATACATAAATCATAAATAAGCTATATGAACATAATAAAGTCTTAAAGTTAATTTGTTCAACAAAACAATCTTCTTGAAATTCAAACAACTTTAATAATCTTCGAACATATTCAACTTACCCTTTGTTCGAACATAAATGAACGAACATAAATGAACATATAATCGAACGCTCACGAACGTAAATGAATGAACGAGTCATTTGTTCGTGTTCGTTCATTTAATTAAACGAACGCAAAATCTTATTCATGTTCGATCATTTAATAAATAAACGAACATAAATAAACTTCCCGCCGCACGATTCATGATGACTGAACGTTTAGTTCATTTACATACGTATTCCACCTTTACCCATTTGCTTCATCTCAACGTTCGGTTTACAAAAATGCTTTATTATTTTCAAAAAAAAAAAAACAACAACGTTCGGCAGCCCATAAAGTTATTTAAAATTGTCTTTAAAAAATTGACATAATGAAAAGCTCAGTCAAATTTCACTAGAAAAATTAGATAAACCCCATTTAGCTACTTTTGAGCTAAAAAGCTTAGAACTGTTCAGAATTTAATTTCAAAATGTACATGTTTTATGAAAAAAAGAAGAGGAAAGAGAAATGTTGTTGTCAAAAACCAAATTTTGGTAATTAATAGAGAGGTGAAAGGCATATGCCTACCATTGACACTTCTGTCACAATCCACACCCATTTCTCTGCTGTTGTTGTTCTTGGTGGTGGTGGTAAAGTAAAGTGAGTTTTCTTGAGAGTGAAAGATAGGAGGAGAAGAAGAAAAAAGGACCCAAGGTAGATATAGAGAGAAAAAGGAGAAAATCTTGTTTTGTTTTTGTTGCAGATGCTCTTTCAATGGGGAAGAATGAGGACCAAAATCTGCAACAGAGAGAGCAGAGTATTGAATCAGGGAACAGTCAGGGGCATCCTGGATTCTTGTGTGGGAGATTTTGGATTGTTTTGTCGAACTTTTCAAACGAGTTCAGTTTCAGATGTGTTTTCTTCTTGTTTCTCGGTTTGTCGGTGTTTTTGCCTGGGATCTTCTGGATCCTCCCTTCTCGCCCTGTAAAATCTGGGTTTGATGCTAACCGAGCTATTAAGCTCAGTGGTAAATTTTCTTTGTTCTTGTTGTTACCATTGGAGCTACATTTTTGTAAATTTGTCACAATTTGTTTGCTTGATTAGGGTTTCATGATGTTTCCAGAAAATGTGTATTGTGATTCTCACTTCATTTTTGTTGTCTCCTTTGGATCCTCAAGTGTTGAGGGTCAATGGTTATTTCCCAGATTGATCATTCACCATGTGATTGATTTCCATTGATTCAAAATTCATGTTTTAAATCTGGAATTTTGGTGTTGTAAAATGGTAGTTATCTTGCCTTGTTGTTGTTTTGTTGGTTTTCTGCAAATGTTATAGCAAAATGGGCAATCATTTAATTCACCTAAGATAAATCGATTTAGTTCCTATGGAACTCGATAATCTTCCTTGACGATTGATGTTGCTTTTTTTTTAAAATGTGCTACCGAACAAAGATAAGTCGATTCAGTTCCTTGATTAGATTTGATCTTTCTGAGTTTGATCTAAATGCATATTGAAATAAGACCTTTCTTTGGTTGTATTTCCATCACAATGAATGCCCTTTTAAGTTCATTGATGTAGTTCCATGGGTAAGTTTCCTCGTTTGTTGTTTATATTATCATTTCTTCTTTGCAGCCCCGGTTCATGTATACTTTACGCTCAAGAAACCGGTGTCCGAGCTTGTCCAGCATGTTGAAAAGTTAGAGTATGATATCTATGAAGAAATAGGTGTTCCACATACTAAGGTTCTTACGCCCAACTTCTGCCATCATATTGCATGTATTTACTACCATTTTATGTGAAAAGATGATATAAAAGCTCTACTCATTTTCAACAGGTGGTTATCTTATCCATGCACCAGTTCGGTGCATCTAACTCTACTTATGTGGTGTTTGGTGTTTTTTCGGATCTCGTACACAGACCAATAAATGTCGTGTCCCTAAGTGTGCTGAGATCGTCTTTAATCGAGCTGTTCCTCCGACACTCCAATCTAACTTTGACAACCTCCATATTTGGGCAGCCTTCTGATTTCGAGATTTTGAAGTTTCCTGGGGGGATCACTGTAACCCCTTTATCAGCTGCTTCTATCTGGCAAAAAACCCAGATTTTATTCAATTTTACTCTATATAATTCGATATCTGAAATAGATGAAAAATTCATCGAGCTAATGGATCAGCTAAAATATGGATTACATCTGAGGTCTTATGAGGTATGACAATAGTTTCAAGCAATGTTCACTCATACACTGTCACTAATGGTTGGTGTTCCGGTTGATCTATGGTAGCCTTCAGATATAATACATTTTTATAATCTTTTTTATTTGTCCGTTGCAGAATTTGTTTATGCAATTAAAAACAGAAATGGCTCCACAATGTCCTCTCCGATAATAGTTCAGGCTTCAGTGATGTCAGATGGTTTCATTAGCCTTTTGCCTCGGAGATTAAAGCAGTTGGCTCAAACCATCACAGGCTCTCCAGCGAAGAATCTCGGTCTTAATAATTCAGTCTTTGGTAAAGTTAAAAGCATTAGCTTATCATCTTATCTGAAGGGTACACTTCATCCTACCCCTCCCACTCCTTCACCGGCTCCATCTCCAGGGCCATCAATGTCCCAGCATCCTACTTTCTCACCGACTCACTCTCCAGCACCTGCACCCAAGAAACCCCATCTTACTGCTGCTTCTTCTGGTCATGGTCCTATTCTGTCACCAGGTCCAAGAAGTGGTTCCTACCCTATTTTTCCGCCTTCGATTTCTCCTGAACCTTCTAGTTTAGCAAAACACACCCCACCCCCCTGTCCATACTCTCATCCTGCGATTCCGCCAAGATCTTCTCCAAGATCTCATTGCAGCCGAACTTCTAACTGCCCACCTCTCATGAGTCCTCAATCAACGTTGTCTCCAGATCAACCACCTTTCCCTTAAGTGTCTTACGGCTCTAGCCAGGCCAAGGTACGGACAGTACAAAAGACCCGATTTCGGCACCACTTGCTCAGTCTCCGCTTGCGCAATCTCCATCATGTAAGAATATATGCTAGGTGAATACACGATTCTGCTTACTCTAATTGCCAAGTAAATACATGCATTCTGCCCTAGGAACTCTGGTTATCGGCATTCTAGGATTCTTGACCTTTCATCTCCGTTTATGATCAAAATCAATTCATTTGTGTTACATACCATCCAATGTTCCAAGACATCAAATTTTTTGACAAGGGAAGCATGTTAGAAGCCCCTGCAAAAAAGTCCGAAGGTTTTCCGGAAAACAATGTACATGTAAACAAGATAGAAGATGAACTACCGGGGGAGCAAAGCCGGAAATTTCACAGGTCGGACATCTTACTTCGAGTTCTTATGATTTTGTGACAAAATACACGAGTTGTTTCTTTCCCAAAGGGAATAATGACTCCAAGAGATGGTGTGACTAAGCAGTCATCAACATACAAGAACCATTATAATGTCATGTTGGAAATGTAAAAACTATTGTTTTCTATAATACTCGAGGAATGATGAAAACAGTTATAGATTTTTACAAGTCATCATACATACATACATACATGCGTATAGTGACCATTTTTTGAAGTTTGCCTTCAATACTAAAGCAAATTGCCAAAACGGAGAAAGGACATGAATGAAATTAATTTTTTTTAATTTATTAATAACACAGACATTCAGATACTTTTCAAGGAGAAATAGTTTCTTTTTTCCATTGACGCAGTTCAATAGGTTCAATTCATTCGTATCTTAATTATAATTATCGATATTTGATTTATTAATAAATTAATATAAATTTTAATTATTATAAATTCTAAAAATTTGTAACGAAAATATCAGTCTCGTAACTCAATTTACTAAATTCAGAAACTCTAAATATATTCATATTTAAACTTAACAAGAATGAGAGCCACCTGATTTCAACATTATCCACTAACCGAACAAACTTAGACTGTACTTTACCAGAAAAGCTTTCGTTTTCAGGAATGGCTCTTACTTCATCTTCTTCCCCTGCTTTAAGTACCGCCATAACCACTCTGCTAAAACCTCATCTTCAATCTCCAAAAGAACCAACCACCTGTTCGCCTTTCTTCTTCACCTCATCATCAAAACCCCTTCTTTCATCAAAAAATCACAATGCAAATATCAACCCTTTTTCAGTACAAAATGCCATGTTCCTCAAACGGAGGACTAAAGTTTCATTCTTTTCTGGGGTTTTCACACAAGAGAAAGATGTCAAGAGCCTCAAAGATGAGCTTTTTGATGCCATAGCACCTCTCGATCGTGGCGCTGAGGCTACCGCTGAGGATCAAGAGCGTGTGGGTCAGGTTAATTATAGCTGACTCTTTGTTCTTTTCTTCATGAAAATTAAGTTATCTTCTTTAGCTGTTCTTGCTTGTTCCTCAATGGGGTTTCTGTTGTGAATCAGATAGCACTCAAACTCGAGGCGGTGAATAAGATAAAGGAGCCTCTCAAATCCAACTTGTTGAATGGAAAATGGGAGCTTTTGTACACAACATCCCAGTCAGTTCTGCAAACAAAGGTCTTATCTTCATCCTCAATCGGCCACTTCTCTTCAAAATAAATTTGAAACAAAAAATCCATTCTTAATAATCCAAATCTGCGTGTTCTTGTACAACAGAGGCCAAAGTTCTTGAGACCCAATGGAAAGATCTACCAGGCACTCAATCTGGATACTCTCAGGGCTCAAAATATGGAAACTTGGCCATTCTTTAATCAGGTAATTCCTGTTGCCCAATGGTTTGAAACCTCATTTCTGAATCAAAATGTTATTTGATGCTGAAGTATCAAGTTTTATTCTGGTTAGTCTAGCTAGACGAGATTATGAATCTCTTAAATAAGATCAAAGGTTCAAATATCAATTTTGTGAATGGAGCAAAATGTGTTGTAAGGATTGTTCATAGTAGAATTCCGTAATATTTGATTCGTATTAGTCAATTAATAGGTTGAATTCTTTTGCAGGCCACTGCTAATTTAGTTCCTATAAATCCAAGAAGGGTAGCTGTTAAATTCGACTATTTCAGAATTGCTGGTCTGGTATGGATTATATTTGCTATTTCTTCAACATTTTCTAATTTCTATGGTGTGTAAATCTGGATTTTATCTCATATCCATCGAGTTATATCCATATTCGACACTCATCTTCATGTCTAGCTCATACCTGTTATCTTCGTTGTCGATTTCTGCTGATTTGCAGATACCAATTAAGTCACCCGGAAGTGGCCGGGGTCAGTTGGAGATCACATACTTGGATGAAGAGTTACGGTTAGTACACCGTGACTCTACATTCGTTCATAATTTCCGTGTTTCAATTAAGCAAGATTCATAGTGTTCTTCGTTTCTGCAGAATATCAAGAGGTGACAGAGGGAACTTGTTCATTTTGAAGATGGTCGATCCATTGTATCGAGTCCCTCTCTAGCTGCTATAAAGTTTAACGACCAAGACATTTGTATGCATACATGCCGTATGAAATTTTGATGCGATCGGTTCGATATAAATGTGTATTGGACACATGCTGGTTCGACTATCGGTTCGGTTTTACGTAAAATAGTTTATTGTATTACAAAGAGTACAAGAAAAACGATTGCAAAAAAAGCATTACCCCGAAACTACCATATCATAGCCTATAAACCACACTAATACGTAATGTTGATAAGGCTTAGCTACCTCAGATCAGGCAGCCGTGACTGCAATTTTCATTCCGGATTGGCAGTGTCCGACGACATTGCAGATGAAATAGTTTTGGCCTTTTGTGAGCTTGATCCGATCCTTGCCGGACCGGTAAACTTTCGCTCCTTTCGGTGTCGTGCACGAATTATATCCGGCCTTGTTTACGGCTACCACATTGTGGAGTGATGGGTTGTAATCGAATACTGCAGTCAGGAAAAATGATCACACGTTAACATTGAACTCAAATATTATATAAAGAGTTAATCGTGGCAAACGCCCTCCAACAAATCCTCATTGTGGGCACATATATATTTAAATTTAAATTTAAATTTAATTATATTTCACATCATATTTATGTTGGTATTTATCGTTAAAATTGATAATTAGACTGAAAAAAACTCTCGTTAAAAAATTTTAAAATCCGAACTACAATACAGTATTAGTAACGAATAACATGCATACCAAGTGTGTCACCAGCCTTGAAGCGCTTGCCTTTGGTCCAGCTGACGGAGTTAAAGGTCCAACCACCGGTTCCACCGACGGTGTAAGTGGCTGCTTGAGCCAACTCAAGGTGGACACACAACAAACAGAGCAGCGCCGCCGCTGCAATTGCACTGCCTCTTCCCTGAACCATTTCTCCGAAAAACAAAAACTTACGAAAGCAGAGTGTAAAAGAGGACTCGGTGTGGGGATTTTAGCTATGGAGAGAGCTGCCTTTTATAATGGTGGGAGACCTGGAAATTTAAGGACCCAATTGGCATTCCTCCTGATTCTTTGAACATTTCAAACCCCAAATCAATGGCGAGCTGTGATCTTGTCAGTGCCCTAATAATGGATTTGGATGCGTAATAAATATAAACATTTCAATGGAGTTAGGTCGGTAGGTCTTCCTTAAGAGATGATAACAAATATGCATCAAATTTTGATCTAACTCGATTTAATAAGTTTATTTATTTTATTTAAAATTTAAGATCCTAATTAAGTCTTAATATTTTCTTAATTGATTTAGATCAAATTCGAGTTTAAAATAAATTTGTCCGACCTCATCTCGTGATATTTATAAAAATACGTATAACTAAATCTTTCATTAGATTCAAAGTGGATAAAAATACTAATAAACTTGTATCAGATTGAATTATGATCGAATTTGAGTCGATCAAAAATTTACTCCATCCCTATGTCATCCCTATTCTCGATTCAATTGATGAATGAGGTTAGATGATCCATAAATTAATCGAGCCAAATTTAGATTTAAATTGATCCGAATTCAGATTTAATAATAAAGTATTATAAATTTGTGGAGGGTGAGCTAACCAGCCAACAAGGTCCCGACATCAAATGTAGATGACTTTGGGACGCAGTCCAAGTTCTAAGCATGATTTTCTGCATGAAGCACCGAACAAATAAGTCATATTGTCAGAATTTTTAAATTAAATTTGTTTGAATCAATGTTGAAAAAAATGGAGCGCCATTTTTTCTTCAAAGTTGGGAGAAATAGCACTAGTCACTTACAATGTGACTTTTTTAATCACTTGAGCTACCCCTCAACATTCAACCCATCACAATATTAAAATATTTAAATATGATTACGATACGATTAAAAATATAAATATAACACGAGATTATTTAAATTTACCATCATGAATACAAGTTATTAATGAGATAAAAGATTGTAATTCGAATTTCGTTTAATTTGACTCAGAAATTTTATAGCAAAATTACTATGAAATGAAATGAAATTAACGTGTTTTGATCCTATCTATCTCTATAGATGAAAGAAAAAAAATCATTGTAAATATGAAAATTACAACAACAAAAATTAAATATATTTTTTTATCACTTGAACTCGATATATATCCAAAAGTAAATATTGTGTGAACCTTAATTGCTCTCGAATTTCCATTGAAATATAAAAAATGATAACTTTGCAATACCGGTAAACTACCATCGACATTCCTACTAGTCAACTTCCACACTTGTATGATTACCATGGTTTAATGGGGGGAAATGCATAAATGATATTTTGGATAAATATGAAAATAATATGATATGTTTTTCTATAAAATAATATGCAATATATATATGGAAAGAACAATATAAATAAATAAACTAATAAAAAAGGATAGAGTAAATTTATTATGCTGTATAATCATTATTTTAGAAAAAATTTAGTTCGAATTGATAAATCTTAAAATTAAACGTTACCCTCATATTAATACAATTTTCTAAATTCTGTATACTTGAATTAAAGAAGTTAATTCCTTAATAGTGTTGCTATTTTCTTGTAAAAAAAGGAAAATGCAAAATGTTTTGTCGAAGTAAACACAGTAAAAAATGTTTTGCTTAGGAAATTGAGATAGCTAACAGAGAAGACTGGAAGAGAGAACGTAAATCAGTGAATAAAATAGAGAGATATTTTTTTATATATAACTACAAAATGAGGGGGAATGTGACAAAAATAGGGTAAAACATCTACAGAAAATCCTATAAATATCTGCACAAAATTAAAAAAAGTAAAGAATATTTAACGAGATAATATTTATTTGAAAATAATAATTGTCACACCATGAATTTTAAGGAAAAAATTTATTTAATTTAATTAAGGGATTAAAAGGGCAATTTTGAAAGATTATGGGTCAATCTCATAAGTTTAGGAAGCTAGAGACTTAACCCTAATTTTTTTCCTTTTTTTGGTATATGGAGTTGGTGGCTGAGGGGTTTCGAACCATTATCCCCTAGGGAGATGGATGCTCACGCCTTAGCTATTAAGCTAGGGCACTGTTCGAGTTTAATTTTAATAATATATATATATATATTTGGTTCAGGTTTAAAAATACCCATAACCAAATTCCTGTGAAATCCTAAACCCCAAACCAATATGTTAAAATTCATGGAAGTTCGAATTGACAATCGAAAGAGTTGCAAAGAGGGGTTGAATTGATTTTTGTGTTTAGGGAGTAAGAAGAGTGAAAGAGAGAGAGATCGTTCGACTTCCCTCATCGTCGCTCCCTGCTCCGACCGGCGGTGAAGGTCACCGTCATCCCCATCAGGCATGCCAGGCCACCGCTAACCAGCCTCTGCCAGTTAATCTCCTCCATCTGTCGTCGTTCGTCGGAGAGATACGATCGAAAGCTTTGCCGAAAACCCCTCGTCGCCTTGGTTTATTATGAATTTCAGCCAACCTAAACAACGGTTCACCGCACTGCCACCTCAACTAGCCACATTGTTCCCGTGCACTCAAAACCCAACCAGCAGGTCACAGTATTATCCCCGTTTCCCTCATCGTCATTATGGGTAATCTTTTAAATATTTTTTTCGGTTATTTGTTGCGGTTTTAGCTAATTTTTGAGTTGTTGATATTGCAAATGATGATTGATTAAAGTTGTTGGAGTACTCAGCCACTGTTCTTGACCCCGTCACCATCGCCATATGCCACTGCATGCTCGTGGGGATCCTCCCTGGCCTTAGAACATCCTAGAACCGATTCTAGTCAACCCAAACCGGTCTGAGTTAACCCGAATCAGCATGTATCAACCTGAACTGGTCTGACTTGTTGGCCTTCACCTGAACCATTGACTTTAACCTAACTGTTAACCTGCCCGTTGACGGTTAACCTACCCGTTGTTCATTGACCTACCCGTTGATTTTGACTTTGACCTGTTTGACTGTTGACATTGACCAAAAAATTAAAAATTTTGAAAGTCATATTTTATGTTTTTCGATGCCATGAGTCCGAATCCAAAGTCCGTTTTGCCAAATTCAAACTCAGTAAGTTATTTTTTTGGTATTTTATCTATTGATTCAATACAAATTTTCACATTTAAGTTCATTTTATAATGTAATTGGTTTAACCATGTATTCAAGACATTATGAGACGTGGAATTAAAGTTCGACGGCGGTCAAATAGAGTTTAATTGGTTAACCGATGTGGCTTAAAAATCGAGGCAATACCTTATTACCCTATGCTTATTTTATGGCATATGTTGGTAATTTGTTAATGCATGATTGAAGTTATTGGTGAATTACATAGAGTTAATTATTGATGGACTTGAATTGAATATGGTATAAATATAGTAAACCCAATAAGACTCAATTAACTCGTGTAAAGAACTAGAAGATCATTAAGAGATAAATTTAAGTTCAGTGATTTAATCAGAAAATCAATTAATCTCAGGACTCGTAAATTCTAATTAATCTCGTTAAAGGTTAAATGTTGGAAATACTTGGATAAGAAACTACAAAAATACTCAAATGATGTAAAAGACAAGGATTGTCCCTGAAAGTGAAAATAACCCTATTAATTGATCATAACCTTTGAGATGGTAAAAGACTTAGAATTTTGATTCTTGAATAAACTCATAAAGACTAATTTTCCAGAAGTAATGTATATGTCAAAATGAAATGAATGAAATATCTTCAAAATGGGAAAATGACCTAGAATTTCTAATTCCTGAGCGAACACCTGGAGGCTAAATTAACGAAAGTACATTACACGTCTGAATTATTCGAAATGACTATATTATATAACAAAGTTGAACTGAATAGAAGTATTGTACGTATCTGAATTGTTGAAACGATTGAATTACTTTGAAAACTCCAAAAGAATCGAGATAAACTTGAATACTAAATGACCTAAGTACCCTCAATGACCTAGAATTAAGTGGATGACTTGGATAAGTCTAGAAACACTGATGAACTTATATGTTATACCATAAATAAGGGTTAGGAACCACGAATCAAGCACACCAAAATTTCTTGATACCGTTGCAATAAAGAAATGAAATAAATACCATTGGACTACTTGTTCGTCTCCCTAAGACCCATTCAATGATGATTTTGAAGGTGATCGGTTCAACTAGAGCAATATATAATAAGAAGTGAATAATGGTGAAGTACCTCAGTCTGAATGATTGGCAAGTATCGTGGTGTTGGGATTGGTTAGTTTAATTTAACTGAAATCCTAATAATTTGGTATAAATCCTACATACTATTAAATTGTTGTTTTACTCTCATTGGGTTAAATTACTAAGAATTCTTCAAGAAACCAAAATGTCTAAAATGCCTCTGATTGCCTGAATAATGGAATCACTCATGTCATATATGAAATCTCAAGTAACTCTGATGTAAAAGATTCTGAATACCTTCTTGATTACTCAGTGCCTCCAAAAAATATATGAATACTATATGATCTTGATAAATCACTTTCCGAATAACTGATGTATTGATTTATTATTTATGAACTATGACTACATGAAATGTGTTCTCTGGTTAGTTGTTTTCAATGGAAAATATAATTGTTCCTGATTTATAGATCATTAAATCTACTGTTTACTGTATGAATCGATTATTGAGATACTATCTAGGTAGGATTTTGGAGTACGTAGGTTCAGCACCGATCAAGCTGGTAATTCCTTATGGACATAAAGTGACCCTTGGGTGGGCTCCTAGGCCCAATGGGCCTAGTGGTAAGACCTTATGGACCCTAAGGTACTCCTTTAGGGTGGCTCATCTATTGTGTGCATTGGGTAAGTCCTTATGGGCCTGAGGGCACACCTCTCAGGTGGGCACTTACGTTTTGACTAGGGTAAGACCTTATGGACCCAAGGTGCTCCCTTAGGTTGGCACCTACACCCAATGAGCATATGGTAAGTCCTTATGGATGAAGTTATGGGGAACTTCATATCGGTGTTCGGTTGGAGGGTATTACTGTGGTTTTAAATTATGTTTTAAACAACTATTGTTTTTAAATGATCTGTACACATTTATATGTTTTATTGGAACACACTAGACTCCCCAATCAAATATTCTGAATCCGTCTCTCTGAATACTTCATTCAGACCGTAAATTCTTGTTTGTAACTGAAGACTTTGCTAATGGAATCTGAATTCACCACTAAAATCTAATGATGACTATCCCGCTAAGGAATTTATGCTTTACCTTATACCCGATGACCTATTGCAGTCATCTGATAGTTATGTATTACTGAGCTTCCCAAAGCTTACTCTTTACTCACCATTGCAGGTTAAAAGAATCGATCTAGTGCAATTATCAACTTCAGTTTTAGGATTTCCTTTGGCTTTGATTGCAGAGTACGATACAATGTGTAATTAGGGGCATGTAGGTCACATTTGATTTTTTTATATACTGAGTCTGAAACTTGTATGATTTTAATTATGTTTGTAATATATGAATGGTTTTCTGAAGTTGCATTTTGTTTATAAATTGTTTTATGATTTTACATGTTTTAACAAAAAAAATTATTTTTTCCTGGATTTTTACTGTGGATCGCTCCGATGGCCTTAATGTGACACCTTGGATCGGATCAGGTCACCCACATCAGTTTAAGGGTGTTACAATAATATTAAAAATCAAAATTTATATCATACTTTTTTCCTTGAATAGAATCTGCTAGTTTTATTGGAAAAAATATTAAAATTACAATGATTGTTTACGATCATAACAGTAAACTAAAATACATAATTAGAAAATTTGTCTTATAACTATTTACACAAGAAACTAGTCACTTGAGATCATATAAGGACCATATGAAAATATTAGAAACCCAACAGAAATACTCGAACAAAGATAGATACAAATATATTTAACTGCATCGGTAAATGAATCACAAAAGGAGATAAAAACCATGAAAAGACCATTGACAAACCACATATTAGAGTCGAATGATGTGAGAAAACTATCCACTAACACAATCGTATATTTCAATCTAATTCGAGGGTCCAAAACAGGGAAGATCATCGACATAATAAATAATAATATTATTTTACAATTTTTTATATATCGCTTAATATATTCAGGGACAAACATATTATTTTCTATTAAGGGTGCGAACTTAGAAACTTATATTAGAGATATAAGGGTGTGGAATTATAAAATTTCAAGAATATAATTATTAATAAAAATAAAATGCCTAAATTATAAAATAAATAAAATTTATTGAAGTATGATCGCACCTTAACACCCCTTAAACCATCCATCAGTATATTGGAATCCATAAACAAATCGCAGTCCTCTAGCCAGATGTAGTGCAGTGTATGAAAGGTTCAAGGAGGAAATGGGGGATGAACACCATTTGGCCCGGCATCAGACGCGGGTAGTTGTTGGGGGATCATCTTACGGCCAGTCATCACCGCATGAATTGTTCCATTTGGGGCTCATCATGTTGATCTCTAAGTTTTAAATTTGGTGGCAAATGTGACATCAACCTCCTTGCAAGGTTGATGCCAAATGGTCACAACTTTCCCCTACTTCCCATCAACACCCAGAAGTTGAAGAACACCCCTCCCGCAAGCTTACACTATTGAGGAAGAATGCTGTACATGGTTCTTGCTATATTCACTGCAGTCGCCGTTGTTGATACGGTTATAGGTGATTTACTTCTTTTAATTTAAACATGGAGTTATAATCATTTATTTTTAGGGAAGTTATATTATAGAAGAGTGAAGAAGAAGATAAATAATTCAAGGGCTCGATTTCCCTTTTAATTTTGTACGGAGTTTATATATTAACCCCTGATATTGATATTAGATTTAGAGTTATCATGATTTTTTGTAATAGACTGACAAAAATACATAAATATGATCGTCTGTCAATATGTTGGTAGATTTCCTAAGTTTTGTCAATTATTTTTCAAGTATTAGTAGTTAGACGACTGATATATAAACCCAGAAACTTCTAAAAAATTTCTTCGAAAATTATAATAGACGAAGAGGTTATTGTTTTGGAAAAATATCACCGGAGGTACAACATCTGTACTGCTCACGTAAAAGTATTTATGAAAGTATAACCACAATCATTTTACCATCATAATCGTGACCGGAAGAACTAGGAACGGGAACAAGACTTGAAACTGATGATTTCCAATTTGACCCTATTGGGTTGTGATTTTTTTTTATATATATAAAATGATTCAAGTTAAAGTCAGTTCGGATCAGGTTCGAGTTTAGGGTGAAAAATATTCGACCCAATCATGAAATAATGTAATTATATCTTATATATTTAGGAATAATTACAATATACTATTCTCTATATTATTTTTTCAATTAGATCCATTTTTTTATCAAAATGAAATTAAGAATTTTTTTATAAATATATTTGTGTCGAGTTGGTCAAATTGAGTTCGAGTTTTATCTGAAAATATAGGTCAAGTTCTTGGTTGAGTGAAGTAACCCTAAATCGAGATCGAATTTCAGGTGAATGATATATATTTTTTAGGCCAGGTCAGATTAGTTGAAAACCTGACCCAACTCAACCCATGCGAATCCTAAACTATCTGTTTGTTTCACGTAAAACGTTTTCCTCATTTTACAGTGTTTAGTTGGAAGAAAACTGTTTGATCAACGTAAAACATTTTCCTGGTCAACAAAATTTCCTTTGTGTTTTCTGGAAAATGACTTACGGTCTGATTTTCCATAAGTCATTTTCCAAATTTTTTACTTCAAAAAATAAATACTCAAAATAATTTTATTTTATGAATTTAATATTAATGAAATATTTTAATATCATTTTAATCAAAATATTAATTATTAAAATATTCAAGATATATTTATTAATATTTCTAATAATATAATATTATAATTTTAATATTATAATAAAATAATCAATTATATTATAATAATATAGGATATTATATTTTTATTTTAATAATATAAAATAAATTATTAATAAAATTTAGATTATTTAATAATTTCATAAAAATAATATTATTAAATTATTAATAAAAAATTATATTATTTATATATTTAATATTAATATAATAATCTAATAATGTTTTAATAAAGATATTTAAAATATACTAATTAATATTTTTAAAATATAATATAACACTATTACTTTAATAAATAATTATTATAATTTATAATATTTTTATTGCAATAAAATATACCAATATTTTAATATTTTAAAAATAATAATATTAAGTTTTATGATAAATAATATTATTTATTGTATTTAATATTTGTAATAAATATATTTAAAAATCACCAACTAGTGGAAAATAGTTTAAACAACATCTTCCAAACATCGTAAAACATTTTCTAGAAAATGTTTTTTTCAAAAAATGTAATGTAATTCATTACGGAAAACATTTTTCGAAAAACGTTTCAGTGAAACAAACTGACCCTTATTTCATTTATGTTCATGAACAAGCTCATCTAAAAGCTCGTTTTTGGCTCGTTAATCAACTCATTTATAAACTTGTTTACCGACTCTCATTTTCCTTTTATTTTTTATGTTTTAAATATTCGTGAAAGTAAGGATTAAATTGAACACAAGATGAATTTTGGATTTTAAAAAGTGAAGTCTAAGGAGCTTAATGACTAGTGCCGTAACTGTTTGAGCATATAAACGAACATTTCGCGAACGTTAAACAAACATGTTGGAGAATACTAAACAAATATGTTGGCAAACGTATAAACAAACATGTTGACGAACGTTAAACAACATGGCCGCATACATATAAATGAACTTGTTCACAAACATTAAACGAATATATTCGTGGACGCTAAATGAACCAAACACAAACAACTTCAAAAATAAACAAACGTGCATGAACACAATATTAAAAAATTAAACAAACAGTAACCGAACATGATCACCTTAAAAAACAAACAAACATGAATAAAACATTATTCGTTCAAGCTCGATTCATTTACAACCCTACAAAAGAGTTAACGATTCAATGATCAAAATATAACAATTGATAATGTAAGTGATCAAAATTTAATAAATCAATAATATAAGTGATTGAAACATTACTTTGTTAAATTGATAGCAAAAACGAACAAAGCTGAAACAATATAGATCATTGCGGTAGTTTACCCTTGAAAGAATAGGTACGTGAACGACACTACATCTTCACGTCGCGTGAAATTCTCATTTCTGGACCAGTCCACTTCGCCAAGTGAAAATACCAATCGGAATCGTGGATCCATTTCCACGCCGATCTTTCTCTCTGAAAAGCAAAGTTCTTTGGCGCCTATCTTTTTGGTCGCCAATTCTTCCCAATTTCTTGGCCCAACATCCTAATTTCTCCTCATTTTCTAACCCCAAATTCCCTCTCCATTTCCCCAATTTCCTCTGGTATGTTTCATTATGTTTTCTTTACTTTTTAAGCTTTGAATACGTTTAAATTCTTTTTTTTTTGTAATGTTAAATACGATAATTGTAGATCTAAGATGGATAAAGACTATATTCACATTTGGGTGAAATCTCAGCTTTGTGTTGTCTGATTATTAAATTAGTTAATTTACTGTATAATACGTGAATCCATTGTTAAGAGCACGTTGTTTTGATTCTTTAAATCTATTGACTGTGAGTGTTTTTGTTATCAGATGAGGCTTGGTATCTCCAGCTGACCCATTACATCGATCTGGATTTCAACAATCTTGTCTCAAGGCAGGTGATGCTTTTTCGAGATTATCCTTTTTTTCTTTTTTTGAATTTTGAGTTTCCCATTGATGGGGATTGTTCTTTTGTGATGTTTAATCTCAATGATGATCTAATTCACTCGTGAAATGGATAATCAAACATGAATCCGAATTGTACCATACTTTATCTGTTCCCACCACAACATGTTGACTCTGGTATATCATCTAATTCACTTGTACAAAGATGGATGTGAATTTTATCAAGGATAATGGTACATTATGTTTTCGGTTTCCGAAGCCCAAATTTTGGTATTGTTTATATGTTGAATTGGGAGTTTTTTTCCTACTTTTGAGATTTTTCTGATTTTGCAATGATATTTTGAGGTGTAGTTTGCAAATGGCTAAAGGTAGCAAAGGAAGACGTGGAATTGCTTTCCGGCAATTCCGGCCAACTCCATACTCGTATACCTCTCACAATCAAGATGTCTCTGAGGATTTGTACACTAAAAAATGTTCCAAATCTTTGGATATGAAAGATTGGGGAGATACAACATGTTCTGTTTGTATGGAGTGCCCTCACAATGCTGTTCTTCTTCTCTGTTCATCCCACTACAATGGCTGCCGTCCTTACATGTGTGGGACTAGCTTCCGTTACTCGAACTGCCTCGATCAGTACAAGAAGTTCTACACTAAAGTAGTCTCGTCCAATGAAGGAGAACCTTTGCTTAGTTCCATTGGTGATCCGGTTTTGGCACCTAGCTCCGGTTGGCCTGTCAAGAAGTGTGGAGTACTGGAATTAGCATGTCCACTTTGCAGGGGTCAGGTAAAAGGATGGACTGTAGTGGAATCTGCAAGGGAATATTTGAATGCTAAAAAGAGAAGCTGCATGCAAGATGACTGCACCTTTATTTGGACATTTAAGGAACTAAGGAAACACATGAGATCAGATCATCCATGTGCTCAGCCACGAGAAGTGGATCCTACTCTCGAACAGAAATGGAGGAGGCTTGTACGCGAACAGGAGCAGGAAGATGTGATAAGCATAATAAGGTCGACAATGCCAGGGGCAATGGTTTTTGGTGATTATGTAATCGAAGGAAATCACCATGGTCTCAATGCAGCTGTTGCCGAAAGGAATGGAGGTTTTGAAGCAGGCTTAGATAGGAATGTCATTTTCCTTCTGCTGAATGCATTCGGGTCATCTGGGAATGACCTTGGTAGACAAGCAAGGCAGCCTACACATGCAGCAGATGAAAATGGAGTTGGTGTTCAGCACACCTCAACTGCTGTCTTATCTGATCAAGATGATGGCAACTTTAGTGCGACGACGATGATTGATGCAATATTGCTTTGGTTAGCAGCCTCCGCCGGCATGGTAGACTTCTTTTGGGACGTTTGAGGAGAAGACGGAGACAAAGTTCGGTATAGGTTGGTACACCTTTTGTATAATCATTTCGATGTACTTAATCCCTTCCTTCACTTGTATTTCTTGAATTTGTAACATCTCGAGTTAACTTCTGTTGATCATCGACCTTGTACATAGACTTTGTATTGTCAAGAAGAAAATTCAGGTCTTGCTGTAGGATGGGGTTGCAAAGAAACATTTTAATGTTATGTTGATTGCTGAATTAGTTTGATTCGTTTTTAGACTATACAAATACATGAGCGTGTTGTTTATGCGAGACAAATACATGTGGATTGATTGATTTGAATTAGATATTGTAAAGATTTAGTATATGAACGATATTCTATCTCAGTCTGTATTATTAAGCCATCAAAATTTAAACTCTTGATCTCGTTTAAAGGATTTAACTTATTATTCCGCACTAATCGAATTAATTATGGTTCAATTAAAGATTATAAAGAGTGTTTTTAGTTTGACTAATACAAACAAGCGTTGAGATTGCAGCATTTAAAGAGAAAGAGAACTGGATTAGTCTACGTGTCAGTTTCTCATTGGACAGTTGTACGCCTAAAACCCTAATTCTCCCCCCCCCCAATATACACATCCTTCGGTCACCTTTTATCTCACTGAAGTGTTAATCCTTCTAAATATAACCTCTTTAGCCTTTGCACCTCTTGTGAAAACTCAAAGCCCCACGAAGCCGCTCTGTTTCGCCCCGGTAACTTTTTCTTCTTCTTTGTTTTGGTTCTCTAACCCTATATCTCAATTTCACGTTTTGACTTCGTTTTATCTGATAGAAGTTTAATCTGAATGATTTGCAACCTTGGGTTTTGTTTTGTTTCTAAGCAAAAAACTGAGATTTGAAATGACTTTTTTTTTTGGGTCCCAAAAGGATAATAATGGACCGGTACCAGAAGGTGGAGAAACCAAAAGCTGAAACACCCATAAACGAGAATGAACTCAGGATTACAGCTCAAGGGAGAATGAGGAATTATATTTCTTACGCCATCACTCTGCTTCAGGTTTCCCCCCTTTTTTTCTGTTGGATATTGGCAGTGTTTTAAGTGTATTCTAAGACGTGGATTTGATTTATGGTTATAGAACATTCTATTGCGAGCTTTGATTTCATGTTGGTTTTCTTTTCTTTTTGTTGTAGGAGAAAGGTGCCAATGAGATTATACTTAAAGCCACTGGCAGGGCTATCAACAAGACTGTCATGATTGCTGAATTAATTAAGGTTCTTTTTTTTGGGGTTTATGTTGCACTTATTCTCAATCTTTTTGTTAGCTATTGTTTTATGAACTCTCGTGACTTGCATTTTGGCAACAATAATGTATTCTAATGTTTGTGTAAACATGTTTTAATGTTATATATATGTGTGTGCGTATGTATTTGTTTGTGTCTTGCATTTTGTACTGAATTGTATTAAACTTTCTCCCAGAGGAGGATTGCTGGTCTTCATCAGAACACATCGATCGGATCGATAGATATAACAGACACATGGGAACCACTGGAAGAAGGCCTTCTTCCATAAGAAACCCATCCCTTTTGGTGCAAAAAGCATTAATTTTCTTGCTCGAACTAATATGATTTCCGCTAATGTTCGGCTTGTGCAGCATAGAAGCCACTCGCCATGTTTCAATAGTCACTATTACTTTGTCTAAAAAAGAGCTGGATTCATCTTCAATAGGGTAGGTGGTCTCTTTTATCTGTATTTGAAAGTTAACAATGTTAAAACAGTCTTGTGCGCTGGATCCTGTTTTTTATTAATGATGTATTGGCATGTTGCTTTGGTGGTCTGTTACTTTGATGTCAGATATCAGCCTCCTATCCCAGCTGATCAAGTGAAGCCATCAACTGAGTTCGAGGACAACGAAAGAGGTGAGATAATTATGTACAGTTGATGATTATAAATTCCTGTTGTATGTCAAGTCTTGCATTAATCGATATTCGTACTCCCCATATCAATGAAATTGGAGACCTCCCTTAACACCCAAAGCTAAGCATATGGTTACGTCTAATGTGGAGGTTTAGGCAATTATCATGTGTTGTTTTATACTAAGGTGAAATGTCACATAAATTATTAAAGGTCTTTGAGCAAAGAGACTTTACTTCTTTTATCCTACTTGGATATGTCGAGTGAGTTAAAACTTAAAAATCCATTTAGAATTTTGGCTTTGTCATTTTGCTTTTGCAATTCAGGTGTGCTTAGTCTGGTGATATGAATAAAAGGACAGTATTTTGGTAAGGTTAATTGAATATCATATGTTTTTGGTGACAAATTGTTTAGGGAACAGTAGAGGTAACAAAGTTGACAGCAAGGTTGCTGTTATGTTTGTTGGTTACAAAGCAATTGCTAGGTTTTGTAGCACATATGCCACTTTCAGTAAATAGTTCCATATCGACTGATGATTGAATCTATTTGACCATATATCGATCAACACTTGCATAAGAATGTTACTCATGCAGGCGATGTCAATGGTGGCATGGTGGAGAACATGAATGGAGGATATGATAGGGGGCAAGGTTATGGGGGCAGAGGTCGAGGTCGTGGTAGGGGGCGTAGTTTCCGAGGGCATGGGAGAGAGTATGGTGGTGGAAATATGCATCAGGACCACTGCCTGCCGAGGGTCGCGGTAAGTCTTTTCTTCCAATGCTCTCTCTATTTAGTGTTCTGGTGTACCAAGTACTCTCTGTTTGTCACTCGACATACCCCAAAATCAATCCATTTGAGTTTCTTATATACTTAAAAGGAAGAGAATAAAAAATATATATATCCATCTCCACGAAATGATTGCTGTCCCCGTTTATGGTAATCTGTGATTATGGCAGGTCGTGGACGAGGGAGGGGAAGGGGACGTGGGTGCGGTCGAGCTCAGGGTTTAGTTTCCGATGGCCATTTCCAGAAAGGTGCTTGAGTAACAAGCACCATCCTAGATCCTTCTGCAGAACTATGGCTTTCGATTGAAACAAAACCAGTGGATGGCTGCTCTATACATCGCCAGTCTTTGTTTAAGAAAAAACCAAGTCCTTTTAGACATTATTTAAAAGGCTTTGTTTGCTTGAGAAATTGTGTTAAGGGACCTTACAGTATTGGTTTTCATTCTAAGCCGTAATTTTTGTAGGAAAGTTGATATGATAGTTTATCTCAGCTCTGTCTATGTTGTATAATTTCTCAGCTTATTTTTCTCCAAATAATAGAGCAGTACATTTATTCCAAGTATTATACAGATCTTGGATACGATACGAATACAGATACGGATGCATATATCCATAACACCATTGAACTTACATTTCTTATATGCTAACATGTATAGAACAAAAGATAGAAGCTATGCTTTATTCAACATACTAGAGAATATAGGAAGATACATATATGTGGATTTGATCTTCCAGGTGTTAACCCAAATTCCCCTCTGCCGTGGAATCTGCAAAAATTCCATAAAACCATGAGTTAATAGTGTTTATTATATATGAATCTTTCGGTGTTTGATAATCACATGTGCTCGATTTTACTGGATTTAACTGAAACTACAAACAACAGCCTTACCTGGACCGCATCTAATCCGGCACTTGCCTTCACAACGCTGCCTAAGCCTCGCTGTTCATCAATCAATCAAAACAATTCAAAACCCAGGAAAGAAGGCAATCAAAGTTTGAATTTTTTTACAAGGTAAACAACACAAAAGTTGTGAAAAAAAGGGTTTTCTTTCCCCAAGTACTTACTGTTGGTTAGAGGGCAAGCAGTAGAACAAGCGTCGAAGCAATCCACCTGTGGCTCGACGCTTTCCATTTGTGAACTGATAACACAGAAAATGAAAACCGCAACTATCATCATCTTCTTCACCTCCATCTTCTTTCCTTTTATCTTATCTTCTCCTTTAATTGATGATCTTTTCACTTTGTTTATATGGTGGGAACTTATTGAAATAACCCATTAGCTTGCATTAAACTACGTATTTGCCATGTCCATGAACAGCTTCCCTAGCGGCCACGCCAACACCAATGTGGGCCATTGGAACACAGTTTGGCAATTCAACTCTAGCCCCCTACTTTTACTTGAGTCAAATTATGCTTTTAATGCTTCTATTATACTTAAATTTCATCTTTTTATAACATATCTTCGCTGTAAAAGATTGAATGATGATGGTGATGGAAAACTTTCATCGACACTCAGTTAACAGATCATTTGGTATACTCCAGCTCTACTTAACATCACAAAGAAACCCTTTTTATTGAAATAGTTAAAAGATAGAATGATGATGGTGATGACATAATTATCGTGATTTTATTTTTTTTAAATTTGTTCTTGATACTTTTAAATTTCTTTAAATAAAAAAATTAAAAAATTTCTTAATATTTAAGAATGAATAGTTTAAAAATAATCCTTTAAATTAAAAAAGAATGAACACAATTTGACTTCATTTCCCAAATAAAATTAATCAACAGCATACAATGCTATGATTATGAACCTCTCTTATATTACATGTTCAACCACAACCTTAGCTTCTTGTTTCTTCTCGGCCTCTGCCATTGTTTTATCTTCTTTCTTTTCACCTTCAATAATGGCTTCTTCTTTCTTTGTTTATTCATTTCTATCTTCCTGCAAATTGATGTTATGATCATGGGAAAGTAAGTAATGCTAAAGAGATCATGAATTCTCTATATGATAAAGATTATGAGTTCGAATCATGCGGTCATAATGTAATGCAGTTGCTCTTTAATGGTACTAAAAGAGAACTGTACTTTTTGTATAATCAAATATGCTATAGGAAATAAGCTAGAAGAACGTTACATTGTCAAGCAAATAGCGAAGGGAATGTGTTCTGATTTCTTCATCTTCATTATCCTTGTTTTCCACTACTTCTTCCTCGGCGGCCAGCCGGAGAGATTCCTCCTTGGCGGGTTCGGGTTTTAGGTAGGCAGCTGAGTTTTCATCTTTCAAAACCTTTGGCTTACCAGCGCAAGCACCCATGTCTTGAAAGATGAAAACGAAGAAGAAGAAGAAGAAAACAAGTAATGAAAGTGAGAGGAAATGGAGCTTCTTGTGATGATCATTAGGCTTAGCATTGAGGGTCTTTTATAGTGTTGGGGTTTGCCTTAGTTTTGGTCTTATGATTTTCAGTGGCGCAGATAGATTTAAGGGATCCAATGACTATATATGTCTTGAAATAACTGAAATATAGTTAAGATTTTAGAATTTTTTTTTTTTTTTTCAAAATTAACATGGACCGAATAAGTATTTAAACCCGAAAATCTAGGAATAAAATGCTTGATATGTATAAGATTCTTATAGATTTATAATGTTGACAAATATAGAGTTTTTATGTATGGAAAGTAGATAAACCAGAATACTGAACACCAGGCAATGGAAAGTGGAAACTCACAAGCTAACATGGACATGCATTTGCAAGATACAAGAGGTAATTTATATATTGTCATTAAAAACAGCAGCCATTGCTATAAAAAAAAAGAACTTTGATGGTTATACATATGGAAGAATGTAAAGAAAGAGATTCCCTAACCCAAACTTGAATCGATATGCTTAAGCCCTTTCGAGATCCGTTCTTTTGCGCGTAAGTAGCATTGTTATGCATTCGTTTCCAAGTTTCAGACGCTTGTTTCTCTGTCTCATCTTGTCCAGCTTCAGGTCCTGTTTCCAGCTTCGACGCTTCCACTTTAAGCTCTGCTTCTCTAAGTTGAGCAACTTGGACTTCAGCTGTAACTTTCGCTTCTCTAGCCGGTACGTCCGATGTGCCATCAATTGATTCTGCTGTCCATCTACTTCATTTTCTTCATGGCAAGTAAGATTCTGATGAGTTGCATTATGCAGTGGTTGAGAATCTGAAATTGCCCCATTATCCTTAGCCGTATCAACTTCAACAAGAACTCCAGCATTTTCATCAGCACCATCAAGGACGGTTTGACATGAGCCAAGAAGCTTGTGGTCATCTTCGTTCTTCAGATTAAACAGCAAAGACTGCAGCAAATCTTGATCATGAGGCAGATACATTCGATTGGCATTATGATACGAACACATCTCTTCGAAAAACAAATGTTTCGAAGTCAAAAGTTTTCTTGCATCTTCCTTCCCCTCCTCGGACACATCTATTATGTCCAAAAACTTAGGGTTCTCAACAACCTTGCAAGAAGTGCCTCTCCCCAGTAAATCATTCAGTCTCCTATATGTTTTGTTCAAATTATTGAACTTGTCTTCACATTGTTGAGGAGATACATGGTACCCCCGATCAGCCATGACCTTCGAAACGCACTTCCATTTTCCTTGTTTCCTCAAAAGAGAAGACATTTTCATCCGACTACCAGTGCAATCGGTGGAGGGATCCTCCCCGATGTAAGAAAGAATAGTAATCAAAAGCTTCACGCTTTTTGCAGTCCATTTAATGCGTTGCCAGGGCGATCCATCCTCACTCTTATCAGCTTCATTGTGCTCGAGTGAGCTCATATCATCCTTGATAACAATGCTTTCCTGTCTCTTGTTTTCAACTAAACCAAGAGCAGAAGGAAGTTGGGACATGAACGGCTGTTGTTCATACCGAAGCTGTATCGATTATTGCTGACCAAGACAGCAACATGCGCATCTCTGCAGCATATCACCACCAGCTGATGGTTCACCATCCATTGTTGTCAGTAAGTTCGAAAGGATACAATCCGGTTGCTCAGTTAGTATACAAATACCATCGGAGCACAATTAAAGAGTCCCATGGAAAGCATTTCGTCCCTGGATACCATCAACTACAATTAGATTTCCCAATAAATGCTTAAGCAATACGTTTTACAGCTAAAATCCATCTAATTTCTAAGAATGACCTGAACAAACAACACTCAGTTTCATGAAAGTAGATCCAAATTATAGCCAAATTTATGAAAGTGAAAGCATATGCATAACCAGAGATCAAATAAAGAAACTCAAATAGCATAAAGGGACTTACCTGATGCTGCATGTAGCAGAAAGCCATGACCTCCATCGGACAATTTGCTCCCTCTTTACAATCTGCGATGTGGAAGCAGCATCAACAGGTATAAATCCAAAGGGCCCTAGGTGCATTCTGTGAATGCTTCGGAATTAGCAAAAACTGACGTTGAAAATGAAACGCTCGTAACGTAACGTTAGCACATGTAGCTTTTGTTTTAACTTAAGCACAATATCCTAGGTGCCACTTATCGGTTCATTAATACTTACTAAAGAACATAGAAACGAGCTTTGAGCAAACAACCTGAACAAGGCAAAAATGGCAGTAATCGTTGGCCAATCCTCGAGCTTGGCTCAAATTAATAGTTTCTTAATTATGCAATCCAAGCCCTTGAAGCTTGAAGAAGAAAGTGCAGGATGTGGCAGCATTTTCACTTCTATCACGATGTATCTCTTCACTTCATGTAATGGCATAGCACTCCATGATTGAAGGAAATAGTGCAAGTTGTCAAGGCAATGGTGCATATAATAAATGATGACAGGCAATAGACGGTAAAGTGTGGGCAATGGGCAATGAAATTTCAACATGGTAGGCCTAATATCAGTGGCTTCAATTGGCTCAAGAATGAATGAAAACAGTATCATAAATGAACATAAATAGGCTTTCTATGCACATTCCGAAGATTGCCGTGGTTGCTTGGCTTGCGATCCTTAATAGGCTTTCTACTAAGGATGTGCTGCTAAGAATGGGGATAATAGTGGAGTGCTCATGTACACTGTGTGGTGATGTTGGGGAGTCGAGGGATCATTTATTTTTCGAGTGTGTATTATTGATTGGTATTTGGAAATGTATTCTGGATCTTTGCAGTCTGGATCGTACGGTGCTCTCGGTGGAGCATGAACTGGAGTGGGCGTTAACCTTTCTAAAGGGTAAATCCTTCTTGTGTTCTCTTGCTAAAATTAGCTTGAAATGCTTTTATATGTTGTATTTGGCAAGGGAAAAAAACACAAGAGCGTATTTGGAGGCTTGATTGGGGGAGCTGGAAGTGCTGAATTCCATAAAGGAACCTATTAGATTTAATCTTTATAGATTAGAGATTGTTTGATTTGAGTATTTTATGCTATAAAACACGGTATTTGAGAAACAACCCACGTGCATTGCAGTAGCACATTTATGACGGCTTAGCTTTTTTTCTTTTTGTCCCGAAAAGGAACATCTTAGCTTTATTTAATAAAATAATAAAACAAAACATAGAGCCACCACAAAACAAATTAAAACAAAAACTGACGTGTTCGCACAATTCAGCTTCCTCAACCAAACAGCCAAAAGGACGGTGGAGACAAGCCAGCTCTCTCGTCAAAAAAAGAATTATATATATACAATTTGTATAGTATTTATATTATAAATTATCTTTTATTTTACAAAATAAATTGTAAATAATATTCCTCGAGTATCATTTTATTTAAACAAAAATGATTTTATTACAAAAATTAAAAATAAACAATACATTAGTGATTAGTGGTGTAATTCACCATCTCTTTTCTTCTTAAGTTATTCTTTTATCTTAGTATTTATAATATAATTTCATAAATAATTAATTTCATAAAAGAGACTGAACTATACCACTAATCACTAACGTATTGTTTATTTTTTATTATTTTAGTAATAGAACCATTTTGTTTTAATAAAATGATACTCGAGGAATATTATTTATAATTTATTTTCATCCGTACTATCTGTAATAAGCACGTGCAAACTTAGAATTCCCTGATACGATTTCAGTGTGGGATGACATGCTGAATACGTATGCAAACGTTTACGTGTATAACCATTAAAGGTCATTATCTTAGTAATCCTCTGATTATCACAGTTATTTATGGCAGAAATGAAGGTGTTTTGAGAAGGCAACTATGGCAGCATCTACAAGAAGTGAACAGCCAGCATGGCAATTTTCCTTGGGTACTGGGAGGTGATTTTAATGTTATTCTTAATTCGAAAGAAAGTTCAAATTCTGCTCTGTTGGGCCCTTTTATTACTCCAGACATGAAGGAATTCCAGGATGCTTTGTTTGACTTGGAATTGCTTGACCACCCTATTTTGGCCCTACTTTCACCTGGAGCAACAAAACACGAACATATCTAGCAAAAAACTTGATAGAATCTTAGTTAATCCTATTTGGTTTACTGCTTTTCCCAAGTCACATGTGGAATTCCTTGCTCCTGGAATTTCTGACAACTGTTTGGCAATTGCTTGGCTTTCTAAAGTGGTTCATGCTGACCATCCTAAGCCTTTCAAATTTTTTAACTTTTGTGCCCACCACTTTGAATTCCTAAGCATTGTTAGCCATTCTTGGCACTCTTTTCCCAGGCAACCTATGCAACAACTGTTCTCCAAGCTTAACGCCTAAAAATCAGTTTGAAAGCCCTAAACCAGCAGCATTATAGCAACATTTCTGATCGTGTCAACCAAAAGAAACTGGAGCTCGAGGATCAACAGATCAAATCTTTAAATCTTGCTGATTCTTCCAAAAAGAATCCCTTTGCAAAACGAGCTCCACCTCCTTCAAGAACCGAAAACATGTTTTTAAGACAGAAAGCGAAGGTACAGTGGATTAATCATGGTGATAAATGTACTAAATTTTTCCACTCTGCAGTTGCTACTAAAACGAAGAGGATACTATACGTGTGCTTATTGATGACCAGGAAGAAGATTAGAAACTTATGAGGATATGGCTGTAGAGTCTTACGGTTCTTACCAACCTGATTGGGACTAATTTTGAGGTTAAATCTTGACCCGAACTCTTTAAAGGAGCTGCTTCTTAGCTCTTTGCCTTGGAAAGCTCTAATGATCTTGTTAAGGAGGTTACTCGTGATGAAATTAAAGATGCATTTTTTTCTCAAGGTAACGATAAAGCTCCCCGGTCCGGATGGTTACACTCCATATTTTTTCAAGAAAGCTCTTTAAAGGAGCTGCTTCTTAGCTCTTTGCCTTTGGAAACTCTAATGATCTTGTTAAGGAGGTTACTCGTGATGAAATTAAAGATGCATTTTTTTCTCAAGGTAACGATAAAGCTCCCGGTCCGGATGGTTACACTCCATATTTTACTCGTGATGAAATTAAAGATGCTTTTTTTCTCAAGGTAACGATAAAGCTCCCGGTCCGATGGTTACACTCCATATTTTTCAAGAAAGCTTGGCCTATTATTGGTGTGATGACGTGGTGGCAACTGTTACTCACTTCTTTAGAGATCCTTACACTCAACCTTATGCTTTAATGCCACTTGTATTACTTTGGTACCTAAAATTCCAAATCCTAGCCAGGTGAAAGATTTTCGGCCTATTTCTTGTTGTTCGGTGGTCTAAAGCTGTTTCTAAAATCTTGGTCAATCGATTGACACCCTTCTCCCTGGAATTATTCGTTTAACCAAACGACTTTTGTTAAAGGGAGGAACATAGATAACACTCTTCTAGCTCAGGAGCTTGTCAAAGGTTATGGAAGGAAGACTTTATCCCCAAGATGTTCAATGAAAATTGATCTCCACAAAGCATTCGACTCTTTACATTGGGATTTTATTTCTACTGTCCTCATTGCTATTGGACTTCCTGCCAATTATATTAAGTGGGTTGAGGCTTGTTTCACTACTGCTCGGTACTCTATATCTTTTAACGGTAGTCTAATTGGCTTCTTTAAAGGTGCTAGAGGATTAAGACAAGGTGACCCCATCTCACCTTTACTTTTCGTACTATCAATGAATATCCTTTCTAGTATTCTCAACAAAGCTGCTACTAGAGGTATTTTTGGCTTCCACCCTAAATGTAAAAGGATTGGGTTAACTCATCTCACCTTTGCAGATGACTTGCTTATTTTCTGTCGAGGGAATGTAGAATCTGTTGTGGGGGTAATTAGTGTTCTTGATCACTTCTATGAAATTTCAGGCCTTAATCTTAATGCCCATAAATGTGAATTCTTCACTGCTGGAATTTCACCTATGAAAATAGGAGAATTCAAACAGATTACAGGTTTTAATCATGGTTGCTTACCTGTTAGATACTTGGGTGTTCCACTAGTATCTAGAAAGCTTTCGGAGAAAGACTGCATAGCTCTAATTGATAATATTAGAGACCGTCTCCATAAATGGTCTCGAAGACATTTGAGCTATGCTGGAAGACTCGAGCTCATTAAAACTGTTCTCCATAGTATCACTAATTTCTGGTGTAGGCAGCTAATCCTTCCACAATCTGTGCTTAATCGGATTAAGCAGTTATGTTCAAGGTTTTTCTGGAAAGGTTCTGATATTGCTGCTAAAGGTGCCAGAGTTAAATGGGATAAGCTTTGCCTTCCAAAATCGGAAGGGGGTCTTGGTCTAAAAGACATAAAATCTTGGAATAAAACTTGTATTCTGCACTTGATAAAGAAAATCCTTGCGGGTGATGGTTCGCTATGGATCGCTTGGATCAAAACTTATGTTATCAAGAACTCTGATTTTTGGACTATGGAGGCTAGGATCAATACAAGCTGGAGCTTTCGTAAACTGCTCAGTATGAGGAATCACGCTGCCCCCATTTTTGCTTCTGGAACTCATTCAATCAAAGACATATGGCAT